CAGCGCCCCGCGCCCCCCACCCCACGTCCCGCGCACGCTGCCGCCGCCGGCCGGCCCGGTCTGACGGCCGACGCGCGCTCAGGTGCCGGAATTGGGCAACGCGCGCCCCATCCGCCCTGTCACCGCACCGCATGGCCACGCACACGGTGCGGCGCATCCCCCATCACCGCCGGTAGTGTGCAAATTGTTTTTGAAAAGTTACACAAGGTAAATTATAACTTCTAATGCAAGTAGCGAACACGAACAGAAAATATCTTGCTGTTCCTTTTATGTTTGTGTTAGTTTGTTTTTAACAATATCATTCAATTCAGGCAATCATTTGTTTAGTTCACAAAAGAAAAAAATAGCGTGTCTGTAGAAGAACTGTGGAAACACCTCTTGCACATTTTATTTTTGCTAAACGTGGAAACAATCCTTAAAATATTCTTGCATTACTATACTGTTTCAATCATTATTGCCCTCGGACGATTATGATTTTTTCCTCCAACCCAAGGAAGGCGCACGTCTTGTTCCTCAGAACAGAAGTTGAAACAATCGGATTGTCAAAATAAGATTCTCAAGGAAACTAATCATTATTAGAGGTAGAGGAGGAGACTATACTGATCATCAAAAAGAAAAATAATATTTATTTTAACAAAACAGTGATAAATAATGAATTAGTTGTAAATTGTATATTTCTATATTATTTCACATTTGTTTTACATATTTTTTTAAAAAGATTTAATATTCTTGTAACAAATAATGTACTTCAGCTTCCGGGTCTGTGATTCCCATCTCGATCAGGTTTTTTTTCCAGTTTTCCTGATCCATTGAGCAAATGCTGATATGGCCCCTTGTTTTGCTTTTGAATGTAAATGTAGCTTCACTACGCGCACGTTTTGTTGAACTCTCCTTTTGCTTGTGGTGGTAGGAGTAGAGGCAAGGCGGAGTTACTATTTTGTTAGCAAAGCAGAAAATAAAATCTAAAGTTCGTTTACCGTCGCAAATACGTTTTCTGTAACTAATGAAAATGTCTACTTTTTCAAATGTTGCTAATCCCGTCCTTTTTTAATTATTTTTTGATTTATTCAACTATTTATAGTTAAAATTGATGGAATGGGATACTGCAGCACACAAAAACGTGCGCAGGTGATCTCCTCTCCCATACTTCACATACGATTTTTTTTACTAAATAAATCTAAATCTATCTTTCTAAGTTATATAATTTCAATTAAATGATTGAAGTAATAAATAATATGTACAGAATTAAATATAAAATATACATTCAATTAAATGATACAGTTAATAGGCTACTATTCTCAGAATAGGCGGAAATGAAGCAATACTTCCAGTCTTCTCTTCATTCAGCTGTAATATTATTTATCATTACTTTTAATGTAAAATTATTCAGCACTATATCTATTCAACACTATTATTCAGCAATCTAAACTATATCATTTAAGATTTTCAATTTCCCAATCGACTGTTTGTCACCACTGCTACATCGTTGTTGTAGGCTGCTCTGAGGGTCCAGTCTCGCCTCGCGAATCTTCGGAGGAAGTCGATGCAGCTTTGTTCTCGTCAGCCTCTTCCGAGAAAGGTGACACGTCACTCTTGTGGGCATTGTAAAACAATGGACGCACGACAGGAATATTAATTAACGAAAACTACGCAAAAAATTGCTGTTAACATTCCGGCATTTTGTGGTCGTGAGTGGTCGCTTCAAGAAAAATCGGGCCCCGATTAAAATGTTACACTACAAATGTGTGCAATTGCACATTGTTGACATTCTTGTAAAAATCCATTCTATGTAAATGTATAAATAATTGAATTGATTATTACAAAGGGAACCGAAGGTATATTTATTAATACAATGTATAAATACAATTTTATTGTAAGACATTATCTTTAATCAAATTGTATATTTTTACTCTAGCAAAAATGTACATTCGTTACATGTAAGTAAATAGAAAACACAAATATCGCTATTATATATCACAAAACTTGTAAGTAAAACTAAGTAAGCTGATTTATACAAGTTCGTGAATAAATATTTTTAAAAGTTCCACGTTTCAATGAAACACCAATGTTCATAACGAAATAAGAAATAATAAAATATGCAATTGTTTCTGTTAATGTTCATAATGCTCTTTGAAAAGACCGGTGTTGGAGAGATTTAGAAAGAAAAGAAAGTGTAGTCGCAAAACCATATAATACAAATTTCTACAGCGAAGTGCTCGAAATTGGTTTGGCCCCAACATTTCCCGCCGACAAAAATTTACTGAAAGGTATGGAATTGTGAAATATTTCCTTGCGAATGAATTCGGTATAATTCTTGTTTGAAAATTGCATTCTCGACGAGCGTATAATGGAACAAGTGCCGTCATACTTTTTCTAAACAATTCGGAGATTTCAAACGTACTCAAATTCAGAGGCAGTACTTCAACAAACAGGTCAACAATGATTTCGGGCCTGGACACCTATTGCAGGTCAGAAAAACGCACACAATAGTGGCGAAATTGTCTTCCGGACGTCGGGGATATATCAACGTTTGTATAAGTCGTATGAAAGTCAGGTGCTGCGAGCACAGCGGACACACAAAATGCGATAAACACGCAAAGAAACCTGGAAAATATGTAAGGGAGGTCGCGGGCCGCACAAAGATCGCTCATTGTTGCCACCGACGAGCCAGCAGTGGCCAGTGGCGAGGGGCGCCTGTGCGCACTACCGCTTCTTTAATATTTTCTGGGAACTGAGGCTCAGGCAGTGGTTTTGACCAGATTAGGCGTAGCTGAGGCGGGCCCAGCTCCGACCGACTCTTCGCCCCCCTGACATCCTCATTTTCTTCACCTCGCCGCCACCTTCTGCAGTTTTCGCCCGATCTTGCCTTTGTACGACCTGGCCCGACTCCATCGGGGCGGTACGCATTTTTCTCACGAAGTGGAAAAAAATATGCGCGGCCTGGCGGTGGGCGATGAAGGCGGGTGCGAGGCAAGGGTTGGTCGGCGCTTGCGCGCGGCGCGTGCGCGCTTGTGCTGCAAGATCGTATGCTGCTACGAGGTAGGACGGAGCCATTCTGTGTACTCTCCGCTACAAGATATGATTACTCGATCCGTAGACAGCAACCTAAAGGCTCCGCACGGCGGGGCGTGGCTGCGGGGGGAGGGGCGGGGGCGGGGGGGCACGGGGCGGGGACGGAGTGGGGTGCGTGGGGGCGAGTCGCGTCGCCATACGCGGTTTTCGGTGCGGTGTGGCGCGCCCGGATATCTC